TCCATAATGACCGTGAAATAGTGGTAGTCGACAAAAAGCCAAAGAGATGGAAAAGGTGCCGGTAGTAGGTTTATTATTATTATTGTTCCCTTGGGTTCCTAGTGGAACATAGGGCTTCAACTGCACGTCTCCACTTGCTTCTGTCTTCTGCTGTACTTTTCACTTGCATCCATGTTAGTCCACACTGTTTCAGCTCTTCTTCACACGATCTCCTCCATGTCACCCTTGGACGTCCCACTCGCCGCTTCCCTTTCGGGTTCCACTCGAGCACTGGCCTGACGCGCGATGTCACCCAGCGGCCTCCTCAGCCAGTGAGTGTCCAATCCATCTCCACTTTCTCCTGCATATTTGTTGGGCGATTGGTTCTTGTTTCGTTTGTTCCCATAGTTTCTTGTTGGTGATTCTTTCCGGCCATCTGATCTTCAGTATAGAACGAAGACAGTTAGTTGTTGATAAAGGTCTGCAACAGGCTGTTGGAAATATTCTTTGTGACACACTGGCCAAGTTTCTGATCCGTATAGAAGAAGTGACTGACTTGACGTTTGTATTGAAAATCCGAATTTTGTTGTTGATGTTGAGGAGTGACGAAGATTTCCAGATTGGTTTCAGGTTGATGAATGTGTTTCTCGCCTTCCCGATTCTCGATTTGACATCCTCGTTCGTTCCGTGTACCTGTAGTTGAGACAATACTCCCTAGATAAGTGAATGAAGTAACCTCTTTGAAATCCCTCCTGTTGATGGTGATTGGCGCTGGATGCTGCTGTTGTTGTTGGTTGGCAGCTTGGTTATTTTGATAACCTCCGTCTTGTCTATGTTCACCTGGAGTCCTGTCTTTGCTGCTTCTTCGACCAGTTTGTCGGTTTTCGCTTGTAAGTCTTCGATTTTGTGTGACACCAAACATAAATCATCCACGCGCGAAATCCAGGTCTTCTAGGTTCTTCACGTCAGTCCAGGATATCCCTGTCTTCTCGTTTCCCACTGTCTGACGCATAATCCAGTCCACCACAATTTGGAATATCATTGGTGATAATAAGCACCCTTGTCTGACTCCTGTGTTTACTCCAAATGCCTTGCTGAGTTTTCCGTTGTGGATGACTTGACATGTGCCGTTGTCGTACAGCTGTTGAATAAGGTTGATGAATATTTGGGGTACGCCGTAGTACTCGAGTAGTTTCCAAATTACTTCGCGGTAGTAGGTAACACAAGATAACTATTTAGATTCATTAAGAAAACGGGGTGTAGAAACACATTGGGTAGGTGAAAGGATTTATGAAAAAGATGGTACTTCAATTACCTTTTTCAGCGTAGGTAACTAGAACTTTCGATTGGGGGGGATTTGAGAAGTAATTTGAATGGCAAATAGCTACACTAAGGCTGTCTAGCATTCAGCACCTAACTGAATGGGATCTAGAGACTGGTCTTCCAACTGTAATTGGGGTTGCAAAAACTGTATCATATCTAGGACAGGATAAAGCAACAGGATCTGATGCTTTGACTACAGAGAGAGAGAGGCATTTAGGGGTAGCAGTTATGACTAAGATGCTAGATAATGTGCGGGAGTCTGAGACAGTCCCGTCAGACTAGTGTAAATCGTTGGTTGTCTCAGTTCCTGTGAAATAATAACAGCAGTACCAGTTAACTAACATTCTAGGTTCCCTAGTCCTGGATGGACTAAGCAGCTATTGAATGACACAGACTTATGAAAACTAGCCAGAATGTATTAATGAATACCTTCAGAATTCAACAGATTCTGGAACATACTTATCGGTGTCCAATACTTGGTATATTTCTTGACCTGTAGGCGATATTTAACTCTGTCGACCAAGATGTGTTGTGATAATGTTTAGTGACGAATTTATATCGCACTAGTCGATGGATTCTACTCAAACCCACACTATCATGTATAAGCTTATGGAGAGTGGTCATCTGTAGAGGGCGACAACCAGTAATATCCTTCAAGCATGTCAAATGTTCCCATAATTTAATTCAATTTTTTAGATTTTCCCGTCAATTGATTGAACTGAAGTGCTCGATCTCAGGTTGACATGTTGGCTTATTGTGCATATGCTTCGACGATGTCTAGGCATGTAATTAGAATTTAATTGGTGGATGGTGACTAGCACTGGAATCCGGGATGCACGTTTCGTCCTATATGGGACTCCTCACTGGTCCAAGTGGTCTAGTGGATAACGCTTTAGCGTTTGAAACTATGGGCACTGGGTTCGAGCCTCGGCGTGAACATCATCACTCACTGCGGAATGCAGGTACATCCAGATGACGAGTCCCAAATAGAACGATATGCGCATTGTGGATTCCACTGCTAGTCACCATCCACCAGTTATGTTCCCATAATTGTTTAATTTCATCATAGATGTGACTCTAATGGACTTTAATGACTTGAGGATAGTGAGGAGGTACACTGCTTAGCTGGAGTCTTCAAGACTCTAAGAAAGAATTAGTGCCTGGAAACTTTGTGATATATAGGTCAAAATTAATCTCAGTAGCACAGATGCATTCACTTTTTGCAATCTCTGTTGTCTGTCTGTCTTTTTGTGTACCAAAATGAAGGGTGCTAAGTTAAGCTCTTACACCTCTGTGCAAAGTTCTATATTGAAAATCAGTCAGTCAGTCAGTCAGAAACTCGTTATATTTCCGAGAAAAACGTGCGAAGGGTGAAAAGGTACTAGAGAATTAGACAAAAGAAACGGTAGTTTCATATAAAAAGCTTACATCAATGAGTTATCTGTGCTCACCGATTCGCCTATTGTCCTATACACAGATGACTTAAAAATCTGGAGCGAGTTGAAGGGCAACAGTGATAAGCTCACATTGGAAGGGGATCTCAACAAATTATTAGATTGGTTCAAAGAATGAATGCTCCCGATTAAAGTAGCGAAATGTGCAACCATACGCATCGGACAAGCAAGCACGAGCTCCTACGAACTAGAGGGAATAACACTTCCAACAGTTCAGACTCATTTGGATTTAGGTATCATAGTAAGTCATGACGTGAAAACTACAGCACACTGTTACGCGATGGTTCCACGCAGTCTCAGATCCTTATGGGCAATTCGCAGAGACTTTACTAGAATTACCAGAGATATGTTCACCTCCTCATCCACATCTCTGGTGAGGTGAAGACTGGAAAACTGTATCCAGGCAGCCAGCTAGTCCTTGTCTTAAAGGGGACTCACATATTCTAGAAAGGCTCCAAAGGAAGGCAACATATATGATTTTCGGCATGGCCAGTTTATCATACAAGGAAAGACTTGAAAATTTAAATCTCTTCTCCCTGTCATACCGTGGGCAGAGAGGAGATTTAATCACAATGTCCAAAATTTTAAATACTGACTACGGTCCTGACCTGTTCTCTCTTTTTCATCCCACCAGTTTGGAACACCTTAGAGGACATAGCAGGAGAATTCAAAAGCTAAGGAGAAACTATATTGTTATGGAGTACTGGTTCTCACACCGAGTCATAAACTCCTGGAACCGACTCCCAGAAGAAGTGGTGTCTGCAACCTCAACTGATTCGTTCAAGAAGGGTTTGGACAACCACAGAAATTTACTACAAAAGGATTGACATAGGCTTCAAGCCTTCTGCCCTCAACCAATAAATTTGAATCTGAATCATGCGGTGGCCATTCATTCGGGTCTCAGTGGCTGAATGATCTATAAGTTTGCCTTTTAACTAGAACTTCCTGGGTTCGAAACCCAGTGGGTGCATACTGCCGACGAGTCACAAACTAGGGTGACGAAACAACTGTCCTCCAGTACTCCCTTGTCGTTTTCAATAGTTCTCTAACTGATATCAATCCGTGATCATACTTGTAACTAGATATCGTGCTCGAATAATCCCAAATACTAGGACAGCATGCCAAGCCGCGTATTTATAGCCTAATTGATTGACTTAAACACTGAGGGTCGTCGTTCAATGACAATGAGGGCTACAGGATAATAATCTTGAGGGATACTTTACCACGACAGCGTGATATCAGTTATATGACTTATAAAAACAAGGCAACAACTAACTGGTCACTTTGCTGCAAAGTTATATCATTTTGCAATTTTAATTACAGGAGACACTAACATTTGTTTCCTAGATAATTTACGATTAAATCTTTCTTTAAGACTTTTTATTCATATTCTTTAACTGAACATCGAATTGTGTTACTCTATGATTTAATTGAATTTTTTAGATTTTCCCGTCGATTGATTGGACCGAAGTGCTCGGTCTAACTGAGGAATGCAGGCACATCCAGCTAGCTGACGAGTCCCCAATAGGGACGAAACGCGCATCCTGGATTCCACTATTAGTCACCTCCCACCAATTAAATTCTACTACTCTATGACCCTACCAGGGGTCGAACCTAGGACCTTGAAGTGACAAGGTGAGCCCATCGACCCCTCATCCTCTGCTAGGGAGTTCAATTCTAGCTTCCGTCATTTCGCTAAATGTAGCACAATTCCCAGCCAGTGTATTCAGCGAGTATCTATCGCCACACTCAACTTGTCAGACCACACTGGTTACGACTTCTCACTCGACTGTTGTCATTATTTTCTCCACTTACTACACACATCTTCACTCCTGTCTATTTTGCTTCTGGTGGATTACGTCATGGTATAATTAATGGAATTTTGGGCCTATGAACTGCTAAGTTGCGCTTCAGCCATTGGTGCAAAAACAGCCTAAACTCCACTCAATCTAGGCTGCGTCTAGGCAGCCGGACAGTATCTTCAGCTCTCACACTTTAGGTGTATAAACGCTAATGATCATTCAGTAACGTCCCTCTTTGTTTATTCTCATTTTTCGACTCCTAGATTATTGTATACCCTAATGTTTGCGATCACTGGAAAGCTTTGTTAGGAAATAAAAAAGACAAACTATTGAACAAATTTTACTGCATTATTTGAAATTTATTTCATATATATACTTATTAACGAACAGTTTGATAGAGTTACACTGTTATATTTGACAACGAAGCATCATTTAACGCCAATTAATTCCCTGGCACAGAAACACCTTGAAGATAAATTGTAAGTGGTCCAGAATTAGTGTTCAATGTGCCTGGCTCTAAAATTTGTCCAGGTTGAAGATTAATATTGTTTTCTAGTACTTCTGTTTTTTGACCATTAGGACCGATGATAATAAATTTCACCCTCTTCTTATTCTTGTCAATATTGGTGTCCGGTTTCTTTGTATCCTGGTCAGCAGTATTATTCGTTGTCATCATCGTCTTCTTGTTGTGGTGTACCTTCAAGGGAACTCGATGTTTATGATGTCTAGGGTTCGGCAGTGTTTTATTGGTAGGAGTTGGTTGAACTTGAAGCGGTGTCGGTACAGTTTGTGTCGTTTGTGTATTAACTGTTGGCAGTGGCACTTCCTGTTCATTAGACACTTTTGCGATAACTAGCTTTTTAGGCATTGGCACTTTTACTTTCTGATTATCGTCAGACAATGGTAAAATGCTGAATGAAGGTTCTCTGTGTTTATGCATAACATGTGATTGATGTGGTTTTCTATAATTACGTGATCTTAGCTGGTTGTAAGGCAACAATTTCATTGGATTATAGGAATTAGTTTCTTTGCAAATGAATTCTTTTGGTTCATCACATGGCATAGATTGAAGACTCCATTCACCTTGACCATTCTTTTGTATATCACTGACAATACAACCTTGGAAGGTTTTTTGTAGGATTTGTCGCCAGCGTTCTTTTTCACTCAGTGAAAATCGATTGTATTCAAAAGGTGTTCGATCTATCCATCGTAGAACAACATATTGATAACTGACGAGTTCCGCAAATCCTCCTAACCATATTTTATTTGGTTCGCTTGATCCAAAGTGTTTTGATAGTATTTTCTGCATATAGAGAAAGGCAAAGGTGTTTAGCGTAGTTAGTTTACTAAAGAAATACAGTAATTATTCATATTTATACTAAGAAATAGTATAGTTGAGAATTAGAAATGGGTGCTTTGTAATTATCCGCTTACATCTCTCATGCTATACTCTCTTACTATGCCTATTCAGTCTGTCCCAGATAAAAAATTTAGGGGCTTTTGGGGGGAGGGAATTTCGGGGTATCTAGGGTGGTTTTGAAGAACATTTAAGTTTTTCTTTTGGAGAAAAGTTTGGAAAAACCCCAAAATTTGTTATTCTGGAGTGAATAGCCTGATTTTTAGTTGAGTCAAGCACCTTACAGACCAGATGTTTGTTTACACAGCGACATATTGGAACAGAAATTTAAGTTTTAATTTAAACGTTCAATGAAGTATAATATTATTTCCTATCTCTGACTTACTATTATGGACTCTTCTAAATTGCTTTACGTAAAAACACCCAAATCCTGAGCAGTTTTCCAGAATTCTTAAAGAAGACAGTGTCTCTGTCGAATATACCCCAAGATATAACATTGTGATGTATAAAGTTCTATGTTCTATGACAAGAGTATGCCACTACATTGTCGTCATCTCTCTTCGTTGTACATCTATTGGACTGGGGATTCATATATGCCTAATGAAATCGTGATTGACTATCAGTTAACAACCGTCTCCTCTTGATGTTTTGCCAAACTAGTTGGGAATATTTATTCAACTCAAACTGATGATATGGGGACCAAATTGAACCCCTTAACCAATAGTATAAATATATAAGCGGAGAAGTTAAGCTATAGCAACCATACTCATTAACCTTACTAGTGAGAAAATAATTAGAATAAAGCAGCGATAAAAGTCTCGTGACATTCTAAGATCTCTTTATTTTTCTGAAATCGTGCGTCAGGCCATCAGTCAAATGACACTAGGATGGGAAACAATGAGTGGGGCATCTGCAAGGTGACATGGAAGAGACGCAAACTTATCGGTAATCATGGAGCCAACTAGACAGAGGACTGAAGAGAACATGATGAATTGGAGATGTCCTCCTGAAGGCGTATGTGCCACTCAGAACCCAAGGGAACAATAATAATAATTATTATTATCATAATAACATGCTTCATAAATTCATTCAAAAGTAATTAATTCACTTACCCATTCATCTTCTGATTGTATAGATGTTAAATGTGATTCTGACGGAAATGCTTGATTACAATAACTTTCAGCTTGATAGTAAGGTAACTTCAAACCGAGAACATGTATATACTTATTACCATGATATTGAACAGTTTTAACTTGTTCTACACTTGGTTCATCAGCATACTGTGAATTAGTATACCCACGATTAGATTCATACAACACTGAACGATGAAAATGATGATCATTAGTGTTCTTAGGCATCGCATGATTTGGAGGATACCATGCAAGTGTAAAATAGAGCATATTTGTAAATAATATCATTCGTATAGTTGATATTTTCATCATCCGATCTATTCTTGACATGTCAAAATGTTAAAATGAAGTCCTTATTTTTTCTTATTGCCTTCAGTCTGCCTGAGTTGTAATCAGTTTCATTTTGTTGCATAATCGATCAATTTTTATGAATTATAATAAACTGATTGGCTGATCTATTTTAATGATTTTTTAGTGAGTGATAATCATAGTTTAATTTATTGATTCATATAAATGGATGACTAATTATGTTTTTTATAGGGCAGTCAGAAATCCAGGGGGCTGAAAAAGAATGACTGCCTTTTAGCCCCCCCACCCCTAACCCCCAAAAAACTAAATGGAATGCTATTCGTCTAGAAATGATGGACTGACTGCCTACCTTTTTCATGTATATACAGCCATATAAGACAGAAATAATCGAATAAAATCGATACTGTAATGTAGAGTTAATATGAAGCTGCCCAAGTGAATATACTGAGTATGCGTAATTCTGTACTGGTAAAATTCAAATTTAAATATCCAAGAGGCGCTAACGCTCTGAAAGGTAGACTTTTGTGCGTCGGTGGCACAGCGGTTAGGACGCTCAGCGACCATGTATATGGTCCCGGGTTCGATCCCCTGCCGACGCGCACCTGATAATAATAATTGGCTTTATTCCAGAAACAGTACTAGTGGTACAGTGTGGAATTTTCAGCACATATCTACAATATTTGCATCTAATTTTATCCAACGTTTAAAGGGAGTATTTCAAAAAAAATAAATATAAAGACAACAACAGCAAAAAAACACAAAAATAATAAAAAAATGTGAAAAAATACCAAGAAGTAGAAAGGAAAAATAAGCAGCATATACTAATATCTCAGTATTGGGTAGTGGAAGCTATGATATGATTATGCATGGTGACAGTAAAGCTATAGTCATACAAGAAGTTATGAAATGATATTTAAGAGTGATTATCGCCAAGATGATCAGTTAATTTGGTTGAAACAACACTAAACAATTATAAAATAACATTTCAGGGTTATTGTTTTGTTTTTTATTGTCAGGTCTAATGCAGTGTTTGTAGTGGTAGTGTGAGTAATCCTGCATAATACAAAATTTTGAGATGATGGTAATGGCGTTCACAACCAATGTTTGTCAGTTAATATTGCCGAAAAAAATAAAAAAACAACCACAAAAACTAATAATTACATGATGGTTAATGACAGGACAATTTTGTAATACTCATAGTGCTAATATGGAATGGCAATCAAATCTCTACCTCAACTTCATAGACTTTGAGAAGGCCTTCGGCAGCGTTGACCGCGAAGTAATTTGGAAACTACTCGAGTACTACGGCGTACCGCAAATATTCATCAACCTTATTCAACAACTGTACGACAACGGCACATGTCAAGTGATCCACAACGGAAAACTCAGCGAAGCGTTTGGAGTAAACACAGGAGTCAGACAAGGGTGCTTATTATCACCAATGATATTCCTAATTGTGGTGAACTGGATTATGCGTCAGACAGTGGGAAACGAGAAGACAGGGATATTCTGGACCGACTTGAAGAACCTAGAAGACCTGGATTTCGCGCGTGGATGATTGATGTTTGATGTCACACAAAATCGAAGACTTACAAGCAAAAACCGACAAACTGGTCGAAGAAGCAGCCAGAGAAGACAGGACTCCAGGTGAGCATAGACAAGACGGAGGTTATGAAAATAACCAACCAACAACAACAACAACATCCAGCGCCAATCACCATCAACGGGAGGGATTTGAAAGAGGTTACTTCTTTCACTTATCTAGGGAGCATTGTCTCAACCACAGGAGGAACGGACGAGGATGTCAAATCGAGAATCGGGAAGGCGAGAAACACATTCATCAACCTCAAACCAATCTGGAAATCTTCGTCACTCAGCATCAACAACAAAATTCGGATTTTCAATACAAACGTGAAGTCAATTTTGCTTTACGGATCAGAAGCTTGGCGGGTCACCAAGAATATTTTCAACAGGTTGCAGACCTTTATCAACAACTGTCTTCGCTCCATACTGAAGATTAGATGGCCAGAAAGAATCACAAACAAGAAGCTATGGGAACAAACGAAACAGGAACCAATCGCCCAACAAATATGCAGGAGAAAGTGGAGATGGATTGGACATTCGCTGAGGAGGCCGTTGAGTTACATCGCGCGTCAAGCCCTCGAGTGGAACCCGAAAGGGAAGCGGCGAGTGGGACGTCCAAGGGTGACATGGAGGAGATCGTGTGAGGAGGAGATGAAACAGTATGGAATAACATGGACGCAAGTGAAAAGAACAGCAGAAGACAGAAGCAAGTGGAGACGTGCAGTTGAAGCCCTATGTTCCACTAGGAACCCAAGGGAACAATAATAATAATAATACATAGTGCTAATATAGTCGGAACCAGTAGATACACAAAAGAAGGAATACAGTAAAGTACAAAAAAGGAAGCCAATGTTAATAATTTAGGTAGCTAAGTATGTTTAAGAAGGAGTTCACTATAGAATACAAAATAAGAGAGAAATAAAAGAGCCTGAATTTATGTTGTTAACAACAAAGCAAGTCATAGGTTTCACGCTTACCATCGTCTCTGTCGCTTAGAACACGGGCCAAATATGGTATCGTTGAGTTCCTGTACTTGGTTGTACGAGCATAGATTATTTTGTACTGATTTCTGGTTCTACCTGATGAGATACAAAGAGAGAGTTGGGAATAGAGGGGGTGTTGGGGGTCGAAGAGTATGGTTTTAGACCATTTTTCGCAAGTATTCAGATGCCTTTCTACTAATATAGTGACGAGCTGACTGAGTTTTACACCACTAGTCCTACTAACTACCTTCAACATCCTTCTCAGGATGGTATAGTCCTTTTTCAGTAGCCTTGGAAAGACTAACGGGGAGCAGTAAAGTAGAATAGGTAAGATACAAGAGTTGACAAATTGTGAAAGTAGAGGTTGGGTGATTCCGGATTGTCTAAGTTTCTTAATGTAGTAGGTTAGACAGAACACTTTTTTAGAAATCGTTAGGATATGAGATGTCCAAGTGGGGTCGGAAGATAGAACTAGACCGAGGTATTTTGCATTAGACTTAGTTTCAATTTTAGTCCCCTCAATGCAACAGGCTTCATGAGTACTCACTAGTGTTTGTAGATCTCGTTTATGCCTAAAGGAAAAGTCAGTAGTCTGGCATTTTGAGTGATTCAGCATGTGGCCATTTAGTTTGGACCACTCACTGATGTCCGACAGGAAGCTATTTAATTTGAAACAGTCTGACGAAGACTTAATGGGAAACAATACAGTCAGGTCATCTGCATATTTGACGAAGTTGATTTCGTCGGAAAAAGGTAAGTTATGTAAGAAGAAGGAAAAGAGAAACGGAGAGAGAACAACACCCTGAGGAACTCCAGCTTCAGTAAGCAAAGGAGAGGAAGATACACCATTATATTTCGTATACTGCATCCTATTAGAAAAGTAAGAGTGTAGCCAGTTGATAGCCCAGGGCTCAGTTTGTGTAAGGCTGAGCTTGTTTAACAATAGGCCTCTAGGTACAGAGTCGAAAGCAGATATCAATGGTCGGTCTGCAAAATTCGGGCTACCATTACCACATGCTGAAAATTCCATACTTGTACCGGAAACTCAGTGTGGAATCAAGCTATAGTCAAAAAAATATATATCATAAAATTTGATCCTCTAAATCAACCCCAATCCTACTATCTTCCTAAATAAGTTATTATTACTATTATTCCTTTGGGTTGCAAGTGGAAAAATAGGACTTCAGAAGTAGATCTTCATTTTGTTCTGTCCCCTTTAGGCTGCCACCATGACTACCTCTTAAGTTTTAATGTCTCCCTCACATGATCTTCTGCATGTCACCCTCTAACGTTCAACTTATCGTTTTCTATTTGGGTTCCAATCGAGTGATGACTGGAAGCGTGATTTCACCCAACGGTCATCTCAGAGTGTATCCCGTCATGTCCATTTTCCTCTGTATATTTGTAGGGCAGTCGTTTCTTGATTGGTTCGTCTCCAGAATTACTTGTTGCTAAATTTTTTTCTGGCTAGCCATTTAATCTTCAATTTTGGACAAAAGGTAGCTGTTTCAATGAAAGCCTGCAGTGGTTTTTAAAACAAGCAACAAATATGGTTAATAAAGTAGGATTTAATGAGTTCATCAAATTTCGGTAGAACTAGTCAACTGAATTCTCTACATACATGGATATATATACTTTTGAAGTTACATTGGGAGATATAAGACTGATAAGCACAAATAAACCACATTGAATTAGGCATACAGAAAGACAAGTGCGAATGTTTTCCATGTCATGTTCAAATAGATAAGGGGAGAGAGAGTATGGTAGATCAAAATTAAGATAAGCTGCATTACGCTTCAATTACATCACTTAGATAAACAATTAGACATTAGAGAATTTAACAATAATTGCAAACAGAGGGATGTCAATAGTAATAGTTATAATAACAATAATAATAATAGTGTTGAAGTGAGTTAAGATAGTGCCACTGATAAAGCATCGTTTTATATGAATCAAGAATAATAATAATGAGTTAGAATAATAAATAAAACGTATTACCATGGTAGATTCAGAGTCACAACCATCTCCTTTTGTACACAGAGACCTGGTTTATAAAATCGAATTGCACAAGCCTCTGCAATGGCGAGCATATTCTTGTTTCTTTGTCTGCTGACAATAACAGTGAATGACTTGACCGCGTCGATATCATGTCCGTAATCCACAAGATGTTTGGTTATTGAGGATTTTGGCACTTTGAACTCAGCTGTTGTCAACCATTTTGACAAATGCTCTATCATGCGAGTAGACAGTCTCCTTTCCGTACGACCTATGTATTTGCTTCCACAAACACACTCAAATTGATATACGCAGTTTGAAGTGTCGAGGATTGGCGACTGGTCTTTCCCAGATTGTTGAAGCACTCGTTTAGTGGTGTTAAGGAAAACAAGTTTTGCAGCATAATAAGTTCTCTTGATGGCTTTGTCGACTCTTCGTTTGATTACTTCCTGTACATCATCTCCTTTGAACGGCAAGCTGATATAGACAGGTTTCTTCGGAACTGTTTGGATCGTTTCGCAGGGGATATTTTCT